GCTTAAGGTCCAATACAAACATTGGTTAGTATCAAAATACGAGCTATCCTACCTATGTTTCAGCCTGGATTGCGGGGCCAACGCAATAAGGGAACACATTCTCGACCTGAAGTACGAGAAGGTACCGGTGGGGGGCGGGTTAGTCTGTAAGACTCCGATAATCCCTAGCGCCTCACCATCGTCGATAGAAGTCATTTCATGAATTTCCCCACTCAAAAATGTTCTGTTTTCAAGAATAACCTTGAATATATTTCATTAGTATGTGCATAAATCTAGACGTACTTATTGAGATTGGAAACATAACAGTGCACGAGGTAGTCAATGACAAGGTTCTCTCGTTCCAGTAACCAATACCAGCAATTCATTGAGTGACTGCTTTCAACTTTTAAAGTACCGACACAGTTGTCCCCTAGCCATGACGACTATGGGGAAGTGTATGGTTCAACGAACAACTGGAGCAAGCTAAACCAATTTGACCGGGACCGAGTCATTTAAACGACCTCCTAAATCGTCGAAAAGATTTAGGGGACTTTCGCAAAATCTAACGTAAACTACGAAGAGCAAAATAGTTTATACTTATAGAATGTCCTAACGTTAATTTAATCCAATAAAGTAGCTACTCTGGCCTTTCTATATTTAGTAAAGTTATTTATATAGAACAATTTATAATGTCGTTAGCGGTATCAAAATCTACGCTAGACAGGATTAAAATGAAGAAAACTGAGAGCCAAACCACCCACTCAACACAGTTCAGTGAGATGTTAAACTTACATTCTGGGGGAGAAAAATCGTTTTCAGAGGTCGAAGGATGCTAAACTGTTGTCAAGGAGTCCATAATTAAGTCAATTGATAAAAAAAATAACAGAATATCAACCTTATTGTAACCAGTAGCGGTAGATATAAAGTTTCATTTGTATTTATTTATTTTTACATTTCAATATTTATGTTTAGCTACGGCTAATGAGCAGACAACTGAGGGTAAGCAATTTTGCCACCCATGGACACAACAAGTGAGAGTCAAGAAGACATAAGGAGGGGAAGGATTGATCCTCCGGTACACATACTCAAACGTTGTTTTAAGTAGACTTTTTTGAGGTCATGGTATCAATCCGGGCAAGCCGTGGTTCTTAATATATTGAACAGTATGATTATATTAATGGGTTTGCCATAATATTCTTACTTGGTAAATCGGTGTTGTGGCGCAATGAAAGTTTCAGGTTTTTGAGAGCGCTTTTGAACAGTCTCTTTCAAATGTGTATCCGTTAGTCGAGTCTTATGGCATTTGGGGAGGAACAAATTTAAAAGTGACGACAAATAGATTTTGCAATCACCACACGATCCCACACGTGTCATTTTCCCTGGAAGTAGACCTATAATAATAATATCGATAAAATTGAAATAATCACGGTTGTTAAGAACTCGGCGCGGCCAAACCCTCTAAGAATAAGGTTTCCTACCGGCCGCTTCCTATGAATTGATATTCCCATCTTTTTATGATTTTCCTTTTATTTAACACACAATAGATATTGGAGAGGCCCGGCCCTTAATATTAACCCTATCGGTTATTGCCGGAAAAATATATTGTCCCAAATGTTTTTGGGTTTGTATTGGCGGAAAATGAAATCAAATTATGGAGTATTTTTATAAGAGAATCACACAGACATATATTTCAATGATAAAAAATCTGATATAACATTGTGGACTAGTAATAAACAACTGCACATATATTGTGCAGTTTAAAATTATATTCTGTTGTACTCAACTCTTTGGGTGTGAACATTTTTTTGCCTATTTACTAATTAATAATATAATATATAATAAAGAATTAATTATATAATAACAATAAACTGCATTCTAAAATTAACTAAGTCTATTGGACATGCCATAGATAGCATACAAATCTGCAAATAGCTTGACCAAAAATCTGTCCACATTTTGTTAAATGTCGCAAGATATCACGCCTGACCATTAAAGAATAATAATATTATGTCAGAGAATCATACAGTTTTACAGTAGGAAAATCACAAAAAAAAAATTCAGAATTCAATAAGTAGCGTGGGTGGAGCCGTTTAAAACCATACAGTTACTTCTTCAATAAATTCATGCAAATATAAAATTTAAAACCAATTGTGTTCGACCATCGAGAATCGATCATAGAATCGGTGCTGATAGCAACTAAAACTAGAAACAATTGTAAATTTCGTAATAAATAAAGTGGACACCCAATGGTCATGGAGTAATTACTTAACCCTTTGCGAAAGCAGTGGCCAGTGACCCACATACGGTTCACAGCATTTGTTCAACAGTTGCGTATGCCTCGCAAAACAAAACTGCTACATGTTACACGTACCATCTGTGGTATTAAATCGTATGCCGTTCTAAATTTGTACGCAGGAATTTGGGTTCAGTTTCAATAATGGCCACGCCAAATAGTATAGCAGTAACTATCTCTTTAGTTTAGTGGTGCGTGGGCTCTATCTCCAAGTAAAGTGTATCCGAATTGTACTCTAGAACTAAAATCCAGCTTGGTGGTGTGATTCGAATTTTAAAATGTGTGTACAATCCAACTGCATCTATCAGAGCTTACATAATTTTACTGAAAATTAAAAATTCTACTTGTGAAACCTAAAAAATATTGGGAACTAGAACATTGGCCAAGCTAACAAAAAACAATATCGAAGCTAAACTAGCGAGGGCCCTTCAAGCCGCAACTTGACGCAAATGCAGCATACCTTACTATTTCGAAAACAGAAAAACGTCGCTTACCTTAAGAGGGAGCAACGCTTTTCACCTTGTGTGTTATCAGAACGGAATCAACAAGGTACTTAAAGAAAAATGAGCAAGAAAAAGTGACGCTTTGCGAGTCACACTGAAAAGTTACTGTGAGAAGTATGAGATTACTTCTTAGAACTTTAATGTGGTTTAAAGCGCGGTGCGGTATTAAATCACAGCGTCAAGAGAATGTAATAAAGTCGTACGATATGTTCAATGTTACCAGAGCAAATCGGATTTGAATCAGAATATCTGCGGCAGCGGGATTGTTACAGTGCAGACAAACTGGAAATAGGTCTTATTTATGTATCCACGTCTTAACAGGAATTGAGTCTATTGATATCGAAGTGGAAAAATGGAAATTGCGAATGCGTCTCGATACTCGGGAATTTTTGAAGAATGAGAAGGTCTAACTTCGCGTCTAGAAATATCATTGTTATAATTTAAAAGACGCGTGAGACGGTATTGTTCACGTATCTAGATAAGTAGATTATATAAAATTTCTTCAAACAATGAATCTAAAAGTGTATTCAATAACTTTAACGTGAACAAAGAGCGATACTTTCTAAAAGCTCGTCAATGTCACACATATAGGACGCAGTTGAAACGCAATACCTCAGTTGACCGTAGGACGTCATCGTGAAAACACAATAGATACAGTGTTTACATTTTGTAATCCGATAATATCATCTTGAAAACAACAGAGCTCTTTGTTGATAATAAAAGAACACTATCTCCTATAGAAATAAGTCATGACTCCCACATACCACTCCCACCTTTAACAGCAAACCTAAACATTGACGACATTCAACGATCATCTTTCAAAATTCTTTGTATTCATTAGGACATTGTTGATAAAACATATTTGCTTTTCGTTATTATTAGAAATATCACAAACAAGCATTATGGAAAATATAGAGATCTATTTAAGTATGTGCCTCGCGGGTCTGCGGTCGGTGGGCAAGAGTATCTCACTGCCCGACCAGAAACAGTGCGCGCGTCAATGATCCAGTAGCCACAACAGATGGGGCGTAACAGGGCTGATGTATAGCCAGGGTTCCGGGTCAAGCGCAATAAAATACCGCGGCTTTGGCCTATAACAGGAGAAGGAACGGCAGGGTTTGTAGTCAGTAAGAGTCTGACAACCTCGCTCGCCATTACCCGGGCAAGAAAAAAGGTTTTAAAATTTTCTCATCTCAAAAAAGAGTTCCTACATAAAATTTTCCACCTCAAACTACAAAATAACGGCATAGCAACTTAGGAAAATAAGGTCAGTTATAGAAAGAGAGAGAACGAAAAATTGATATAATTTTGAAATTGTTTAAGTAAAAATTGTGGTCCTGGACTAATTACTCTACAGTGTTGCTGCAGCTGCTGCATTAGCAGTATTGCCTTTGACGCTATCTCGCTTGGTGGTAAGTGATAATGCGACCTGTGGTGGCGCACGCCTATCCATAAGCCATCTTTTCACTCGGACCTTGAAGACAAAAACACTTCCCGAGATACACTTCCAGAGCTTCCCCTTCGGGGAACACAGATTCCGACAAAGAAGCCTTACAGGTTCTGATGATAAAATTGGAAGCGAATCGCTTCGTGCGTGTGGGTGGGATACCTACCATAAACCAGTGACGAGTAATACAATGGTGAAAATGATTAGGAAAAATCAAGTTGTGCAGCTATTTCGAACACTCTCCGAAATATATCTTTAATTTTTATTAAAAAAAACTCTAAACACAGAATAAAATATGTAAAAATTTACTCCAGCCATCACAGATATGTTGGCTGATTATCCTAAATTTGACATTTATAAAATTATAGATACTCAACTTATTTGCAGAGCTTATTCTATGAATATTGGAGACGTGTGAATTGTGTTCGAGGTTCATTCAAAATGTGAAACGTCAAATTTATGGTCCACTTAATTTGATAGGCCAAATAGATCCAAAAAATCGACAAATAGATCCAAATAGATAAAAATCATTAAGTAGGTATTACTTAGTATGTACATACTTAATTTTACCTGAATTATCTAAACATAAGTATTGAATAAACAATAAAGTTTGCCATCATCCCTATGAAACTCGATGTAAATGGAGACCAACGTCCTGAAGATGGAGCTCTATGGATCATCCTGCTGCAGAGATGTCTAGAACGATGTAGCAATGGACTGTGATGAGATGAGGATGATGTGATGAAGTTGAAGCTAAGTGAAGTGATGTGGCAGTTTTTTATTCGTAATTCTAAAATGCGAAATAAAACATTTTAAGTATTTATAAACTGTCTATGAGCAGGAAGGATAAACATTACATACGTCAAATTGTACAAAAACAAAAAAAAATAACAGTACAATTATACGCGAGATATGAAACCAATCAAACCTATCATAGAAAATAATTCTGAAAATGAGTAACAAACCGATCAGTGTCGCCATCTACTATCCATACAGAACAATACAATGAAGTTCAGTTTTTCCGCACTCGTCAAGTGTCACCAATTTTCCGCTAGGAGTGCTGTTGTTCTCTTGAAAGGTCCTCCTTATTCACACAGAGGACTCTTTCTTTACTTTAGATATTTTAAGGCAAAAGGAAGTATGTTTAGTACTCATTTTACTTTCGACTATGGAGCTGATTGCAATAAATTTAAAATAACTTCGTAATATGTATATTTATACATAATAATTGCTCATTAAAGATATAAAAGATAAACAATAACAGATAGACTATACATAAATTAAAAAAAAAATATCCCCCGTACCTACTCGGCTCCATTTGATCGTAGCGTGATATTTTTTAGCTAATAGCACTCAGGGAAATCATAATTATCTAACAGTGGAAGAATTTTAGAAATCCGACCAACGAGCGGTTCCAAAGGTTATCTATAAATTTTACTAATAACTATAGACAAGTGGAATCAGGCATGCGTCGTCTTGTATGTTGTGTTAGTGATTAGCCATTTGTAGTGGAGTTTGTTCCACTTCTCTAGCTGGGAACAGGAACCCCAAGACTGACTCAACTTATCTACGATTTTCTTCTGGGGCAAAAGCACCCGTTAAAACATTACATACAGAAACCACAATTCATGAATGACACACAGTGTGAACTCAAATTGAAAACTCTTGGTCATTAAGTGTGGTTGATGAACTTCATTGGCTTCCATCACATTCAAGCTTCTGTTCTTCAAATTATCACTATTATCACCACATCACATTTTCTAGATTTGCCATTTACGAATTCTTTTTTTGAGTGTTGATTACAAATTTAGCCATTTTATTTGTTCATGGCTATTGCTAAAATTAACTTTGATGACGTATAAAACTTAGCCTAAACAATAATAAGTAGGTAGCGAACAGTTATTAAGCCACAGGCTATTTCTGTCAATAAAAATCAACAAGGTATCATATGTGATCAATATCGTCTTTCAAAATAATTGAGGCCATCTATTTCTTGGTCCTGTACTCCCACACAGCTTATTAAACCATAACACAAACGGTTCCATATCACATTTCATATTTTTTTACTAATTAGACATCTATTCTTGTAATTGTTTTGAAATACAAGTTATCAGTACATGGAAGCAGACATAACAAGTGGTCTAGACATTTTTAGAAGAAATTCTGCGTGTGTTTGAACCTATTTCTAAATTAGGTTGTTCTGGAAAATTCCTAAGTATAGTCTACTTAGGAATAACATGAAATTTTATGTGATTTCCAGTACTTACGAGTGGCAAACGGTAAAAAACCAAACCCTTTACTAATCCATTTTTACCATTTTGTATCGATTGTTTAACAAGGCATTCAAAATAATTTATTATTATGAGACGAGACTCGGGAAGGTAGGTAGCAAGGAAGTTGTGTAATGGAGATAATCAACATAGAAGTAAGTACCATCAAGCTAGTTCAATGACAGAATTAAAAGGTGACTAATAAAACGTTAGTATAGCTACGTATAAATATATCGAGTTTTTCAGGGGGAAGAGTTACTGGCTGTACTGACAAAAATCACCCCATTTTTTCTCATACTCCAGGCTGACACCGCGGTACCTGATTACGCTGGCCCCGCAACTTCGGTGAACATCGCCCTGTTGGGCCCCATCTGAAATGGGCTGAACGCTCCGTGCTGCACGCTCGTGTCTGGTTCTGATAGGGCGACGAGTAACCCTAGGTGGGGCGCTTGTGATGGCCGGAGATCATCGTTCGAGACATTTGCGAATTATTGATGTCATTTGAGAAAGATATATAAACGAAATCTTTTTCACTGACCTTAACAGCTTCTTCTACGTCATCATCTCTGGAAGTCTTGGCTAAGCTTTTCTTCATCAGCTGGTACATAGTCTCCCGCCTTAGGTGTCCTTCACCCAGAAGGTCATAGCACTAGAATATAAAAATAACACTCGACAACATTCAAAAGTTCTTTTATGTAATTGTTGATCAGAATGACTTAGTTTCCTTTGTCTGGGTTTAGGTAAATCGACTATTTAAAAACATTGAATAAAATTGTGCGGTATCCACAAGTACGAATTGCAACGTGTTCTAGCGCTCTTATCTACTGACCAACAATTTATGGATTTTAATTTCTTTCAGTACCTAATCTAACACTCCCGCCTAACCTTCGGCGGAAGAAGTCATTTGATGATTTTCCCCTCACAAGAATAGGTCTAAACTGAACAATTGAACCAGTTTCGTAGTTTAAATTGAAGGTAGGTGAAAAAAAGATTCAATATACAAATGGTTTCTATCTAGATGTAAAAAAATGTCCTTCTTATTACAAGAATTACTCTTGTAATAAGAAGGACATTTTTTTACTTTTAATAAAATTGACTTTATAAGGAATGGGATAAATAAATGAATAATACTAAACTTTGATTATCCTTGCTTCTACGAGTATTACCCAGACTCTTGATTAATTCACTCCAACTAAACTACTTAAAAGTATGCAAACAAGCAATTAGTTTAATTAATGTTGGTGCATAGTCTAGTCAGATTGTTAGGATGACTGTTTCTTGTTACTGCCTGTGTAAATACAATTTAATGTTTACCAATCTAAGCGCGGTCATCTGCTTCAATTTATTTACGTGAAAATACTGAGTATTTCAGCAAGTTTTAGAGATGAATTTATCAAGTGCTAAATCCGCTATTGGGACTATGAACATCCTCTGTTATAATCACCACCCTTGGTAGGCGGCACAGTATTACAGGTATCGGCTTATCAAGGAACACTGCTACCGGATCTCTGTTAAGTCTGTCTATAGTGTGCCAAGCCCTTAGCCCTTAGGATGCTCGAAATGCAAAACAATAAATTGTATCACCAAGGAAGTTTGGCATTTCTTTTTTCAGTCATCCATTACAGACACGCCGTGGTCGTTTTGTCTCGGTTATTTATCGATATTTAATTTCTATTCTTACAACCCGTCTCCACCTTCGTTATGTTCGGCGGAGTGAGAACAGTTGATAAAATTGATCTGGGTTACGCTATTGATGTGGTCTGTCTACCTTTCTTTTTAAACGATACCCCTCACCTTCAACGTGAATTCTAAAACAATTTGTGCTCAAAGTTTTGCAACGAATGTTTCACTTTTCGCAGTGTAGGTGGCGGTGAATAACAATTGAATAGCGCTACGGTTTTGTTACATACACGTGCTAAGACCGGCTTGACTCCACATCTGAATCCAGTAGGCCTACATGGAGAACACTTTGTGTAGCTCCATCCCTCTATCTCGCCTAATAGAAGATAGACGCTTTAACACGCCATGGTAGGCCCTCAGATCAATTACCTACTTAGAAAATCGTAAGCGTTGGCTCAATTAATTGAACCTTAAACACTTGCTTGCTGTTGCAACTAAAGGGACAGTCGGTGTAATAAAATAAAATAATATAAACAATAAGTTATTTTCCATTACTATCAGAACGAACGCTGATGCTTTTTTTTATTTAAGCGTTTTTGATTGTGATCACTACAATCACTTTTCATCATAAAAATTACAAAAACGTCTCGTCTTGCGAAATGACGATAGCCAAGCATTAAGAATAAAAAAATTCACGAATTATACCCGCCAAATGTATTTTGTTCTAAGATAATTCAACCACTTGCAATATTTCCAAAGAAATGTGCAAGTCTTGCATACCAGGTACTAGGCGAGCAGTTTTGAAAGGAGGTCTCTCGAATTAATGCAGTCACTATTTAATATAGGTCTAATAAAGAAAATTTTTATTTTAATAGGAAACCATGGATGAATATTATTATTATGTTCCTTTAATAAAATAAAAATATTTTTATCTCTTTATTTTCTTTTCATTTTAACACATTACTTTCCTTTGGTTTAAGTACTTACAGTGAAAGCATATTGGATTCGTTCCTCCAGGTCACCTCGAAGGTAAAGGGACATGGCTTTGGCAAAGGTAACCATGGTCACGTGGGGTGACGTACCACGGTCTAGGGCTACCATCACACGCTCCATCATATAAGCATCTGTCATCCCCAAGCCGTTGTGCAGAACATCTCTGAAGTGACTCCTGCGTACAAAATAGACCATCATCAGCATAGTCATTAATTCCTAAGATTTCATGTTACAGTCTTAGCCAGATAGGTTTGTTATTATTTAAAAAGTTGATTAAGTTTTACCCGAGATTATTCCAAATGCCTTGTTACTATGCAATAATTGAAATGCCTTAATAGAAAAAATTACCTATTGTGCGTGACCATCTAGCTAGCTAAAGTATGTGATCCACGGATTTTTTCCGTATCCTTGTCATATAAAACTTATTTTATTTTCATTGGCTGAATTTACACTTAATATTTCGGGTGATATTTAGTACCATATCTATGCATAACTATCGCTTCAGAGAATATAAGGCGTGATGTCATATTATGCTATTTGTCACAATACTCTCAATTTTAAACACTAGAAAACCAAGAAACAATATATTTACATAAAACGGAGGTACAACGATTAAATTAATAGCGATAAGTTTAAACGAGGATATGCACAGCGTCACTTGCAAAATGTTCAATGAATTGTGCAAGTCTTGCACGCCGGGTACCAGGGTATCAGTTATTTAAAGGAGGTCTATCGACTATTTACGTACAGGTCAAAAATAGCGATAACACGACATCTATGTCTCTATTTAAATTTGCAGAAGATGCGAGATAATTTGTCATATTGACCATTGCTCAATAGTGGGCGCTTAAAGGCTGATGATGATGATCACACCGCATCATTAGCAGATCACCGTCTCACTGCAAAGCAAAGGTATTTTTTCACGATGAGCATTATTAATTACGCTTAAAGGCGGAAACCTATAATTTCAAATTTACACTGTACCGTATGTCAGTAGAAGCTAAATCGTCAGTACACATATTTTGTAAAAAGTCTTAATTTCGGCGCTTTCCAGGTTTCGAACTTCCACTTTCATTAATATCTGGCAAATGGAAACCTTATCCACCCGGCACTTGCAATATTTTTGAGGAAATGTGCAATTCTTGCACATCGGGTACCAGGCGAGCAGTTGTGTGAAGGAGGTGTTATTATCTATTCATGTCGTACGTCATATTTATCAATCTAGCTCTGCACAAAATATAAGGCGTGACTTTGACTTTGACTTTGACATATATTTCAACTAAACCATACAAATGTACTGCTAAAACGTCAAACATAATTTAATCATCAAGTCAATCCGTCATTGAATTAAAGTTGATAATTTTGGAACGCTTCTTCAAATGGAGAAGAACAAGCAAGAGACTCACTCGTTAGGTGCTCTTAAAGTAATATAACTAGGTATTTTATACAATCTCAGTATATGCATATACCTAATATGTGAGGATAAGGTAGAAACGCGCTTTGGGTTAAGTAAATTAAAAACAATAAACACAAATGATGGGACCGATTTCTCAACGTTACATTTTATATATACCTTATCGTTACTGAATGGTGCCCACAAGCCCATAAGACATAACATTAAATTTGCAAACCAACAATCTGTAAAAATGCTTCAATATGTGTCGTCTAATCTTACTTTCAGTAAAAAAGAAACAATAGTTCATTGCTAAATAAAAACTATATCATTGTATTATCATAATTAGTACATTGATAATACAATAATATAATTTTAATTCCTAAACGTTTAAGTAACTATTGACTACATTTGAGTATTGCCCAGTGGAGTTGAAACAAAATGCTGTCAAGCGCTTTTATCCTCAGTGTAATTTCACAGTTTGTAGTATACTTGTATTTAAAATGCGCACCTAATTTAAGTTTAAAAATTATCTTTCTTGATCTATGGTCTTAACATCTACACTTAGCAAACGAATTCGAAATCAACCTGAAAAGATTTAGGTATAATAAAAAGGGCGGCTACCCAGTACTAGTCAAATTTAAAAAAAAAAATCTGGTACTAGTACCTTTTTCGACTTACGATGACACCCATGGCAAGAGTCAGGGTGGTGAAAAATGATAAACTTTGCATTTATTTTCATTAGACAATAAATACCACTTGCATTATTTCCAAGAAAATGTGCAAGTCTTGCACATCAGATACCAGGCGAGCAGTTGTTTGAAAGAGGTCTATCGACTCACGGTCGCAATACAAGTACGTCGGGCATTAATATCTCTATCTTTGGTGGATAAAAAGCATAACGTTACGCTTTTGGCTATTGAAAATGTTACTCTAGGTATTCGCCAAATATTAAACTTTAACCAGCTTTCACAGTTAACGTTAGTTTCTTGAGATCAAAGTTGAAACGGAAATATTACTTTCAGCAATCCAACTTAAAAGATCGGAAGTATTCAAAAACATACTTTCATAAAAAAGGATTGAAACTTTTGTTTGTAACATAAAAAAAAATATTTTATCAAATATTAATGATTAATTAAAGAAATGGTCCTGCAAAATAGCCTAGTTAGTATACTAAGAGTTCGTACTTTGGTAGGAAAAAAATACAGTTCTACAAGCTTCCAGGAAAATAGTGAAAGAAGATATGAGATTACCTAAATGAGAAAGATAAAGCGTGGGAGAGTCATTTTTCGTCACGAATGGGTCGGTTCGACTGGAGTGGTACTATGGCCTTAAAGAAAACCTGCGTGAAACCACCGCAGCGTTGTGTTTCACCGCGTGAATGAGGCTACTGCCCTCATTAAGCCCTATTCCTTCCCATCCGTAATCTCCAAATCCCTGGGGCGACAACGCACCGGTAACTCCTCCGTTGTTGTGGGTGTTAATGGGCAGCGCTTATTGCTTACCATCGGGCATACTAATACTTATAAATAAAGCACAAAAAACACAATATTTTTATTCGGAAACAAAAACGCAAAAAATAACTGCACATTTATTTTAAAACAAAAACTATATACCTCATCTACATACGTAATATAATTAGTCATATTATATAAATACAATGAATGAGACACATTAAATCGATAAGTTTATTAAGAAATGAACAAATCACAAGTCTCACGATTCAAAAATAAATATTTTATATATTCAAAAACTTATCTCTTCTACGATACAAGAGAAAATCCTACGCATTTCTTTACGGGTGCGTTATTATCTCCAATTCAGTCTACCTCTTTGGGAAAATAATATGAGTTATGTAATTTATATATAATTAATGAATCAAGTAAGTAAATCATTAATATATATTACATTAAAGTTCGATAAAATACAACATAAACAACTCATCGCATTAAAGATAAAACAAAGAAATGCACACCCACTTGCAATATTTACAAAGAAATGTGCAAGTATTGCACACCGGGTACCAGGCGAGCAGTTATTTATAGGAGGTCTATCGGAATAATGCAATTCTCTGTCCCGCTCTTACAGAAACACTATTTGGGTATTGCTTTCCCGCTTCCACGATATTTTATTGGGTGCAATGGAGGATGCGCAGTGAACAACTCGTTCAGTCGCAGTCTAGGGCATACGGCAGTACCTAACAGTATTTCGTGCTGTTTAAATGACTAGCAGGGAATTGTCATCGTCGTTCAAAATGATCGTTGGGAATGCTTTTATATAAACTGCGAGTTTATTTAAAGGGATTGTGAAGCTGCATAGTTCATCTAAACAGTTTTCAAATGTTACTATCTGATACCTAGTGGTTCTACAGGTTTTAAAGTGACATTAAGAAGGGAATACCTTTCAACCTCACTGAAAATCTAAACATTAAATTGTTTAAAGTAAATTATTTCCCTAAATTGATCACAATCAAGTATAGCGCATTCATTGTTTAATTTAAATTCATATTTATGATAAACTTTTGATCTTAGTTGGCTCTGATATCGCGATTATTCGGCGGCAACTCTTAATATTTACATGTTGTTTGTCATACATCAGAAATATCAGCCCAGCAACAATATTCAAGTCGATAAACGAAATAAATAAATCATGGTTTCTTAAAGACCTATTCATTGAATTGCAAAACAAAACAGTTTGTAATACGATTCGGATTCTACTCGTAAAAACATTTTTAAGAAAATATTCGGACACGGCCTTGTTATGTGACCCAAAGAATGACATACACATGTAACACGTTTTATGCTTATTTAAAAAAGTTTGTGTGCAATGTGTGTGAGTTTATCTGCAACACAATAATATGTGTTGTACATCAACTCTAAATTTAATAATGTACGAGATGTTACTTTTATTTGAGACATAGATACTAACAAGAATATGTTAGAGACGAGTGCAATAATCTCCACTCTTTGCTACGGAATAAAATAATAAAAAAATATATTAAAAAACATAAATCACGCTTTGTACAACTATCTCATTTATGTTAATAATAATAAGTTTTAACCTTATTACGTTTTAACATTTAACTTTATCAAGCTAAATATAATAGGGATAAACTTTGAAATCTAAAGTACCTAGGAATAATTTTAACCACATTTATTTAAACCTGTGTTTTAGGGAATGTAGCAGCTTAAATGGCTAGGAATGATCAGAGATCGAGTATAGATGGGAGTTATATATTATTTTTTATATTGGTATCGAGTTGATGTCCACTTTTTGTCCTTGAAGGGTATGTATGGCTGCAGAGTAGTGTCACTTGTGAGCGCACCTCCAGCTAGGGGACCGGTGGACAGTAGTTGCGACACAAATCTACACTTACCCAGAGACAGAAGGCTCTCCCTGGGGCTACCTTTTATTTCCCCCATACTCGTGACACTGATATGGAAGACGCAAATACTATAAAAAATCTACCACCAAACGTGCTGGAGAAGGCAAGCGATCTCGGTTCGCCTACATGTGATAGTGAGGGCCAAAACGGGTCTCGGGCTCGTGGGGAGGCGCTGGTCCAGCAAATTCCGGGTACAGGCCCTGGGCAGGAAAGAGTCGGACTCAGATTTCGACTCATCATTATCTGGAGTCAGCATCGCGCTACGCCAGAAAAATAGAGCGGGTCGTATTGAAACGTTTCAGGTTGGAGGATGACCAAGAGCCGTTTTCCAACGAGCCGGAGGCTCCAGTCCCTAAATCCCCACGGCTACGCGGGGAAAGGGTAAAGAAAAGGGCTCCACTACGGCGGCAGGGAGTCGCACTGAGCCGGTTGAGCGGCTGGCGCCAGAGGGGAGCGCCCTGGGAAAGCCCACCCCCTCGGACTCGTCCGAGATTGAGGTGTCCGGCGGCGAGGACTCTGAAAGCAAAGACGGCGCTGAGAGCCTTTGCAAAGTAGTAAAGGCACCCCGTATGTACGTGGCTAGCCAAAAAAACCCAGGCTTGCAGAAACGGAGTGCTTCAACACGCCGAAGCTCAGCGGGTAGGCAAATGGCTGCTCTGAAAAAAGAGCTAGCCGGGATGCGAGCGATGGGAGCTGTCCCGAATGGTGGCTGCGAACACTGCCTTGGAGGCTGAACTCCGAGCCGTAAAGGCAGAGCTCGCCACTGCTTGCGGAGGTCGTCCCCGACCGGCGCAGCCAGCGGAGGCCGACCTTCTCGGACTGATGCGGCGAGAGGTGGGTGCCTAGGGTAGGCTCCTCCGACCCCCGCTTGCAGCTGGCTCCTACGCGGCAGCAGCGGCAAAGGAGAAGCCGTCAACCAGCCGTGGCGCCCAGGCTGAGTCACTGCCGAAGAAGAGGGTGAAAGCGCCCTCTTCGGGGAAGTGCCTACGTCGGCGAAAGCGCCGAAAGCGGCGCCTGTGGCTCTGACGGCGCAAGCTCCAGCTGCGCCTTCGGCGCCGATGAGCTGCATACGCAGGGGCCCAGCCGCTAGAGCTGGCACACACCTCCTATGGTGTGGGCACCGCTCTGGCTGGAGCTTCAATGCCAAGAACTTGGCTTGGTGTTCCCAGTTCACATACATCTGGGACAGGATGGTCGAAGACTGGGCCTTAAATACAGGCCTAGTCGTGCTGAATCAGGGTTCTGTCCCTACGTACGCATGTTAGGCATGTCTGCCAACCCTGTAGAATTGTATGTACATATGTTTAGCGTGTTTTGTTTTTCTGTCTTTTTAACCTTTTTATTGTTTTTTTTTTTCTGTGTTGTATTTTTGTTTTGTTCTGGCTTTCACGTCTGATGCCGAATAAATGCATTTTCTTTCTTTCTTCTTCTTTCTTTCTTTGGTAATTGTCTCCTGAACAAAAAGGTATATACCCTTTAAGAAATAAAGACTGCCAAAGAATTCTACTCATCTTCCTAAAAAGATGTTAGTAAAACACAACCTGCTTGTAGGTCAAGCATCCAACTTAAAGCAATAACGCTTTCCCATTTATCTGATGCATAATGTTGAAGGCTATGAAACCGGGCCTCCACAAGTGCATCATCGTTGTTGAGCATCTATGGCTAGTTCAGCTTCTAGCTGGCATTCAGCCGAACTGTCCGACAGCTTAGAATAAAACTCTATACAGGACCGAACTTGGGCTTGGTGTAAGTTCAAAAACAGTGTAGTTTCACAAGGTACCCTCCTAGTTGCCACTTCACCTCTATTTATATGGGAGCTAGTTGAACTGAGTTGAGTATGGGAGTCAGAAATAGCAATAAATCAAAAATGACCAAGTGGACGCCTATGGCGTTTACTCCAAAATGTATCCGTAATAAGGAAGTTCATTCACTTTATTAAAAAACAGACCACTCTGTTTTGCTAACGTTAAAATGAACCATGTAACCCTCAACCCAGTTGGAGGCTGACTTCAAGGACAAGCTCATACGCTCTTCCCAGGATTTTCTTCAAAACTAGATCTGTGTTCCACCTAGTCCATGAATCGGATGTCAAATCGTAAATACACATTTCTTTGAGGGGAAAAATCACGAGTAGGCTAAGAGAATGGCACACTGGCTAAAAACCCCGATGCTTCTCCTGCGCCTTGCGCCTTAGTGACCTTAGCGAGCCTCATATGGTGACCTGATGACTATTTGTGGGACCCGCGAACGCAGGGCGCCGTACTTTCGTGTCTGGTTTTGGTTGGGTGCTAACCTTGGTTGCCGTTCACAGACCTGCGCTTATTGTCGGTGGAGGTCGTGACACGATGACCGACGCCGACGCCCAGGTTGCCACGACGGCTTGAAAAGGATCATTCTCTCAAGCCTTCCTTGTTACATAACATAGCATAAGTAGGAGACGACCTCACAGTGGCGTTCGCAGCGAAAGAAGTCGTCGCCACCGATTGGTTATCTCATGACAGCAATACTCAGCCCTAGCATGGCACACCACCACTGCATGCACAGAAACTTTTGTCATACAAGTACTTGCATAACGGAAACGAGTGTTGGTCAGGCTGAAGGTAAAGTCATCGTAGAGTCTTTCGAGCCATGCCTCCTCCTCTTGGCGCTTTGATAACAATGAAACTGTAACACTGGCCCTCATCGACTAAATTGGTCATGACTCACACAGTTCTTCTCCTGCAGGTTTCTCATCGACTGAGGGTTTTTAGAGAATGAGACACTACTGTGCTCAGCACAAGCGTTCATACTGCCGCCGTCGGTGTCTTCCGAATGATCCTAGCTCAACAAAACCCGGGTGATCCCTCCCACTAAATCGGAAACAGGGCGCCACTAAGGCTCTGCACAATTGACAGGAACGTAATGATACCAGTGCCCTGTAGCTTACATTTTTTCATTTACACGGCTGGTGATGAACATGATCCTTCTTAAGAGAATTTAGCTGTCTTAGGTCCCTGTTACTAATTTCACTGTTGCACGTCATTAGCGAGTCCAATTCTTTATAAAAGCAGGCATTTATCTTAAAAACTATTACCGCAATCGTAGTTTTTGAAAATAAAATAAATGTCATGTGAGTGAAATTGACTAGTTTGATTATTTTAAGCTCATTCCCTCTATTTTAGTTCAAGACTTTCGAAAAACACTTTGAAAACCAGGCCTTAATATCAGGCCAGCCAGGCCAGGCCTGGTTTTACCGCCTTGACAGCAATATAAAATGGATTAAGTAATTTAACTATAAGTTTCCGATTTATGGTTGGAAGTTTTATGTGTAATAAGTCACGCTCTTGTAATTTAACCCTTTACGATCAAGGTACAACATAGTATTGAGAATTTGAGAACACGGCAGCCTAATTATTTGAAAATTTGAGATATTATTTAAATCACACATTGCATCTCTTGCATGGCGTGGCATAATATTTGACTCTGAAATTACCGTGTAATGAATGAAGCATATTTTATTTCTATAAATTAAAGAAATCACCCATGCAATCAATGTTTCTCAGCAAACGCATTAGTAGCTTATGTATTTAGGTAAACATGTTCGGCAACAAAATTTTCAAATATATTTTGCCTTAATGAGCTTGCCCCGCAACCCTAGTATTGGCCCTATTGGGCCCCATCAGTAATGATCTTTTTTTATTGGCTCTTTACGCACCTTACACACTGATCCTGATCTGTCTGATCCTGGCCGCATGCTCTCCTTCGCGAGCATCACTATATCGCTAATCACTTCCTCTCGCTGCTCACCATGGCCTCGACTACCTCCATTTTTTATGTTATGCTGTGCCCATAATTCTTAAAATCAATATGTTTTTATTATGAATTAATAGGCAAACGACCGGACCATCTAATGGTAAGTGATCGGCGCCGGCCACCAATACCTGCAGCACCAGAGGAGACACAGGCGCGTCGTCGGCCTTTTAAGAAGAATTACACTCGTGTTTTGGAGGTTTGACGGTCGTATAGGTATAGGAATACCACCGCCAGGAGACCATTTCAAATTTTTGTTGTGCGGGACAGAAAGTTTTGTGTAAATCGCACAGCTATCAACTGCCAACCATCTTTTTGATGAGGATGAAAACGCTTTCGCGTAGAACGATGGCAAAAAGATGTGGTGGGGATCTAATTGAACAATTCCTCAGAACACTCCCCGTGATGCACGCAATAGAGAACACATAGCGAAGCTATATCCCTACGCAATGCCAAAGAGTCCAACCGGTCAGATATAACAGGGCAGTCAACAATTCGGACGGCTCGTCGCTGAATACGGTCCAGCCGGAGAAGCTGGTCCTGGGGGACCCCGCCCAAATATAAGCACAGTTTTCCATATGGGGCTGGAATCACCTTGTAAAGTAGCAGGCGATGCCCCGGGGTGAAATACTGTCTCCACCTATTGAGCACACCTAACTTTTTCGAGGCTAACTTTGCCCTATCCTTTAGATGACTGCAAAACTGAAATTCGCTTGATATGTCGACACCAAGAATCCCATTACCGGCCGAGGCTTGTAAGAGGTGCTGTGAAATTGAGGAGATACGGCCAACGGCAGTTTTTTAGCGGTGAACACGCAGGCTTGTGTCTTTGTGAGTAAATTCGATTAAATCAAGTCTACCCATTCGTCTACCTATTTGAGATTCTCTTTAAGAAGTCTCGATTTAAGACACAAAACTGTTTCGACTCTCTATGACGTTTTCCCGAGAAATGTTAGCACAAGTAGTTAGTAGTTAGTTAAAGGCATCACCCGTGCTGTCATTCGAATAACAACGAATGCCACTGATTTGCAACATATAATTGATATGGAGGAGGAGCAGAGTGGGCGATAATACGAAGCCTTGAAGGATACCAGCGTTCACAGGCATGCAATCAGAGCATTCAATGTCGAAACTGGATACCCCTTTTCACAGTTCCTCGGAACGCCAATAAGAAGGTACCTTATAAAGAAGCCTATTATGCCAGACTCGATCGAAGGCTTTTGCTACGTCAAATTGACTGCAATCGCTTCCCCTTCCTAAACTACAAGATCACCAGAGGACCGACCCTTACGGAAACCGTACTATCGGTCACTAAGAAGCTGATCATCCTTCAAGTACTGAAAAAGCTGGCAGTTAATGATTGACTCTATTATTTTCGAGAAAAGGGAAGTTATTACTATCGGTCTGTAATTAGAGGGATTTCTGCGATCACCTTTTTCAGAGATCGGGTGGGCTAAAGGTGTATTCCATGGCATCGGGACTACGCCTGAAGAGTATGAGAACCGAAAAAGACGTGTTCAGACTTGTGTCAACTTTGGAGCGCATATTCTTAACACAATTGGTGGTTTTTAACACTTATAACTAGGATTAACGTAACCAAATATCTGGCATATCATACCCACGTCACGACAGGACCGACGGCTCACGCATCCCGTCATCCAATGTCGAATTTGAAGGAAGAAGTTCAAGAAGCTCAAATTCAAATTCGACAGTTCAAGAAGTTCAGCTTTTGGGTAAATTCTTTGAATTTACCCAAAAGCTGAACTTCTTCCTTTACGATTCTCGCTCCCTCCGTACAAGAACAGCTGAAGAAGACATGACTGGAGGTGGATCATTGTGTAGCCCAGTTCCTCACAGATCATGGCAACTTTAAAAGTAAATTATTTTCATTTAAACTTATTGGATCCCCATGGTCGCGTTTGGTGACTGGGCGTTTTTTCGTCACCTCAAATAATATCTTTTGATTTATTTATCAAGACAGTCATACATGTCCCTGGCCCGCGCCGGACTTCAGTGCTCCGGTGTTTTTATGGTTGTATCTACTGTAGATCCTGTCTTTCAATAGTTGCAGCGATTTTGAGAGGTTGCGGCGGGCTTGTCCCACAAAAAAACCTCCTCTATTTGAGAGGAAGTTCATAATTTAGCAGTGTACTTTTTAGGAACGTTGACGTGATGCATGAAATGATTGATGAAATGAATAAAAAATAAACAAAACTATAAGTTATTCCAGATTCCGTTGTTTTCATTCATGTGATCACTTACTCAGGCAACTTATATCTTAAGAAAGCATGTCGGTATAACAATGTCAATAAGTAGAAAAACGTTTAAAATGAAATCCTTGAGTTTTGCATATTGTCTCCGGTCGTGGTAGTGCGCTAGACGCGCTCTAGA